CCCCACACCCCTGGCACTACCTCCCAGAGCCTCAATTTACCTTGGTCCTCAGAGATCACATCTGACATTGAAATGCCTTCCTGGACACAGACCCCCCTCTCCCAGGAGGGATATTCCAGCCTCAGGAAGGGACTTGGCACTAAATGGTTGCAGAGAGTCATGTCTTTTGGAAATAAATTGTCTCCTTTTAGAGAGTGCTCTCTCCAGTCTCTGGGAAGTGACACATTGTCACTTAAGATCATTAACTATTTGACTATGAGACTTGCTGCCTGTATAGCACGAGGCACTGCCAGCGCCTCACTTTTAATGAATAATAAATTAACACTATGACTCTGAGACCTTCCTTTCATCAGTCGAGATTTCCAGAGGCCGAAGAATCTCAAAGGATCCTCCACAAGTGACAGTTGACGTCACTACGTACAAGCAGCAGCTCAGTGAGGGGTGAGGTGCCAGTGATTGTTAGCAGTACTCTGAACATCAGGTCTGTTAGGACTGGTTTTCTACAATACCCCACAGCAGTGAACATTACAAACATGAACACGGGCAGCAAGGTATCCTGCTTGCCCAGAGAAAACATCCTGTGCCATTGCTTTGGGAAGCAAAGCAGGTTGAAAAAGGTGGGTTTCCAGTCCTGCCTGCGAGGGGAAGAGAGGCAGTTTGGAATCTCACCTTCTTTGCCTCTTCTCTTGTGGGTATAAGAAATTGGGGATAACCCTGGAAACTGAAACAAGGATGAGCAGCTCATGGTGCCAGCAAGACCCTCTTTGCCACTACGGCTTTTGCAAAACAACCCCAAAACACCCCAACTGCAACAATCTTGGGACTGCCTCTAATTATGTGAACACTGAGGTTCACCTGGGGCCCCCTCGTGCTACCAGTCTGCAAAACAGTAATGCTGGTTTAGGCTGTAGGTATTCGACAGAAGCAGCTGTGGGGGGAGGCTGTTCCTCTCACCCAAGCAGAGAGTCTGTCTGTGATACCCTCAGTGGAGTAAATTGACAGGAGCAGCAGAATGCATCTTCAGCCCTGGTTTTCTTTCAGAAAGTTGGATGAAGGCTGATGCCCAGAAGATCTACCCATTGCCTTTGCAGTTGGGGTTGATTTTTTTGTAGATCAGAGCATTGTACTCCCTCTCCCTGGAATAATTTCCCCATTAATTCCCACACCCCAGGACTGTTGCAGCGTTATAATCATGCAACATCTTAGGCAAAACCAAAATGAGACTAAGGCAAGACATAAATGCTGATGGATTTTTTTTTTTATTAAGCAGAGGTTTCAAGATTAATCAGAAGCTTTCAAGGGTCAGGTCAAGACTTTAGGAAATCATCTGCCATGGGGAACATTGCCAGGGAGGGATCCTCTTTCTGAGATGAAGGCTGTTGAGAACTCAACAGGCACTCATAGACCTCAGTTCAAGAGTCCGACGGCTTCTCCTGCAGAGAAGGAAATCAGTAGCTCAGACATGGAACATCTGAGCTTTTACTGTTGGTCTGTCTCTCCTCTACACCACAGAGGAACTTCTGAACTCTATTCCATCTATTTTCTTTTATTATTAACATACAAAGACAAGATAAATTCTTAATTTAAAAGAACAAATAGTCTGTAGAAAATGAACTTTTTTTGCTGGAAGAAGGCTCTTCAGCAAATCACTTAAGAAGGAAATTGAGAACTCTATGCTATCTCTTTATATCTGTAAGAAAACAGTTCCTGGAAGACTATCCCTCCCTCAAAAAAAAAAACAACAAACAAAACAAAACAAACCTTGCTGGTGAAATAACAGGTAAACAAAATAAAAGAACTTTACTTCTCCAACCAGTCTCCAAGTCTGATTTGCTAGTTTAAGCTAAGTTAATTTAGTTAGTGAAGAGATTGATTTTATACGTACGCGTATGCGTTGCAGAATAAGCATTTGTTGCCATATGTGACACCATTAGACCCGCAGTGTGGCATGTACTCCATGGTACAGAAGTTTCTGGCTATCGGCTGGTTATTACAGTACTGGGCTGCAAACTGTATTCATAATAAAAAAAAAAAGCTCTCAACCAAAGATATGCAAGAAAGGTGACATTAGGAGACCCCACACACCCCCTGAGCTCGCCACTTATTGTCCAGAAGCAGATGCTGAGAAAAAGCCCAGGGACAGGGCAGGATACAGTAGTATGTTGCCTCCCACCATGTAGAGCCTGTGTAACCACTGTAAATGATGCCGCAGTAACTTTGACAGTAAGTGGGACATGAACTGGATATCGCCCTACTTGTTAAAACTGTCATCAGATGAAAATGGCAATTTCACCCAACAATATCTACGGCAAATACTGTTCAGGCAGCTGGATGTCTCAGGATTGTCAAAGGCTCAGTCACAATGTGATTAGTAAGGACTTATACAGAAACATCTTTGAGGAAAGAAAGGATCGAAAGTAGAAAAATCTGTCCCTTACCTGCGCTGCACCAGTAGCTGGGAAAAAAAGAAGAAAAAAGGAAATATGTTACAAATGTAATTCATGGATTCTGTTAGAGTTAAAATCTGTGAATTAGTGCCCTGAATACACAACTTCCAACTCACTGTGTGTTAGCAAATTTCTTCTTAGACAAAAGGAATTTCAGGCAAAATTTTGTGCCCTACTGTATGTTGATTCTGTAGTATTGTTTTGGCCTTTTAATGAGGGCTACAGTCAAGATGGAAAAAGGTATGCAAAATGAAAGAAGAGAAAGACAGTTTCCATGGTTCAAAAGATGGAGCAGGACATGTACTCAAAGCAAAGCAAGTTATTGAGGCAAGAAGGGTCATAAAGCTGACAAATACACAGAGGCAGCATCTTATATGTATTGCCACTGTTATTCTTAAACAAGAGGAGTATTTAGTGAGATGTAAATTTATAAAGCTTCTACAGCAGTTCAGGCTCTCAAATTGTATCTCGGTTCAGGATGACTACAGGAAATATTCATTTTCATTCAGTAAAATCATTTGTGTTTCTGCAACATTTCAGAGGTTAAATACTGGATGTCTGACTCTCTGGGTTGTACCACGTACATGTCACTTCTTTCATTATGCATAAACTAACGCTGAGAGTAGAGCTGTTCCCACAGTTGTTCTTACCCACTCAGTTCTGTTGCTAAAATATTACCCCATAAGTGATAGTCTTTGATGTCAAGTCTTTTCAACACTATCTTTCTAGGAGTAAATAAGTCCTTGCAGAATGAAGCTCTTTTCAGTCTGGGGATGTTTTTTTGTGGTTCTAAAGACAGCCAGCGCTTACTCGAAGGCAGAGCGGGAGGCAGTGGAGCAACTCACCTGAGATGCAGCAAAGGGCCAGAGTGACCAGCAGCAACACACCTGTCGCCTTCATGGTGGCTGGAGCGTCTGTGAGCAGCAGCGTTTGGCTTTTGCTCAGTAAACGCAGCCCTGATTCTGCCCTCAGCTGGTAACCGCGCTTATATTCCCGCCCGCACGGCTGGGTGTGTGTGTGCTTGCGCGTGTTTGTGCATGTTCATATCTGCCTTATCCACCCTTATTCTGGAATAACATTCCCAGTCTTTTGTTGCAGTGGCAATCCCGATAGAGGGAAGCCGTGCTGTGAGCCAAGAAGGATGTTTCTTCATCAACGGGAGTCACAAGAAGTTCGGATGTGTTAGATACACCCTCTGTGTCGTTATTGTAAGTGAAATATGTGACAGTTTCCTTCTGAAGGATCATAGAAAGTTCCTGCAGGCAAAAGAGCGACTGTACAAACCTGAGCAGCAACTGCTGTCAGATTTTCTCTGTGTGCACCTATCAGTGCCTATTTATGTACGGTGTTTTTTCAAGAGAAAAACATTGAATGAAATGCTTCTGTAGCAGAAAGTCTCTCCTTTTATTTTTGTGCTTCACCACAGTAAAGCGTCATTAAGTTATAGTGAAACCAGGAAAACAATGAACTGGGAAGGCAAGCAAGAGTGTGTCACAGACACTGAAAGGAGTACTTGGAAAGGACAAGGAATGGAGCGACTTTTATGGGATTATGCAAATTTACAATTGTTATTTCCTTTAAAATCCATTAGCATTGCAGTAATAAGCTTTTAGTATGATGATGACAGAATGATGTGAGGCCCTAGCATGGATCCCAGAAAAGTTGAACCCAATCTGGAAATCACTGCTTCATCCATCTGCCCATCTCAGCATAAATCCTTTGTTGTACCACCAAAGCACTGCTTTTTGGGACGACCTCATTCCATCAAGGAGAGCAAGCAGACTCCCAGAAGAAATGCATGTGGGAGATATTATATTTTAGAAGGGATATGTCCAATTTATTTATGTTACTCTTGTGTGGATCAAAAAACCACCAATTCAATACTCAAACAGAGGACAAAAGCAAAATAAATTTCATGGACAATATGCCAATGACAGGTCACACTCTCAAAAAACAGAAGGATACTTTGTCCTTGGATTGTGAAACACTGCTGAAATACTTCTTGGGCTGGCAAAGAGCCTTGTGTTATTAAAGACTAAGAGAGAAGACAAGTAGGCAGGAGTAGGCACCATCCCTAGGAAGGCATTTATCTTAAAACACTTGAAGGTTGCTAAAGGATGATTTCAAGATGAGAAAAACCTAGTAATAAGTCATTTGGAGGACCTAGACAAATAGACTGGGACCATGCACGTGTCTGAAAAATATGGGCTTTGGCCACAGACTATCCCTGTAGAGTGCTACGCTTCAGGTGAGGATGGTGCTGAGGAGTCCAGGGAACAGCTCTGGGCACAGACACCACAGTCTGACCAGGTTTTGCTGATGCTGCCTGCACAGGGAAAATGCACCAGGAATACCTGTGTCACTGCTCCAGCCCTTTACAATGTCAAACACCTAAAGGGTCTGAACACTAATGCAGGCCGACTATCACTTATGTGCAAAGACACACAGCTCTGGGGTTTATGCATCTGTATTTCATTTTCTGCCTTTTATGAGAGGGAGGGGAGCAAGATGTTGTTCTTGTTATATCCCAGAGCTATGAGCACATAACCTATTCTGCCTGGCATCATCATTCAACAAATCAGAAGCAAATGTTTCATGAGACAACACATGAAACAAGACAAAGAAATGTTGCTGATTTAGTTTATTGAGAAAGAAAGTCAGGAGTGAACTGAGTTCCCCAGAGGGTGAGATGAACTGAGGTGAGATCTTTAGCTGGGATTTGCCAGTGGGGATCCTGTGATGAATTCTCTCAGCACTGATACTCAGCATTTTCCAAAATGGCTTAAAGTGATAGTCCCATTGCTGTCCCTGAAAGTGAGGAGAAATAAAAGTGAATCAGACAGCTTGGCTCCTAGAGATGGTGTCAGATGGGATCCTGCCCCAGAGCCAAGGAACTCGCACAGTCAGAATTCCATTAGCTATTTGATTATTAAGAGATGAGCAAAACAATTTAACCCATTCTTAAGACTGAAAACATTTGGGGGGAAACTATAGTGAAATTTCAAAAGTAATTTCTTTTGCAACATGCAAGAAAAATTCCATTAAAGTTAAATGGCCTTCAAACCATTCATGCTAACAAAGCAGACACAGCTCTTTGTATGCTCTAATGAAAAAAAAAAAAGAATGGTTGGCATGGTGGCTGGCATTCTCTCCTGCCCCAAATCCCTAATCAACACTGTCCAGCAAACAAGAAAGCGGCAACTGTGCAAACTTGCACCCATAGGAGGCAAATGATAACACAAATGTGATTCATGTTTGTACATACATGACTGCGTTGCAGAAGTTACACTTATTGCTGTATGTTGTGTTGTCCGAGCCACAGAGAGGCATGTAGTCAACTGAGCAGACAGGTTTAGGGTAGTCACTGCAGTCAACCTGCAAAATAAAAATAAATATAAGAGTCTGATGTGAAGGAGTCAATAGCAGAAGGGCTTGAACCCTGAGCTACAGCTGCAGTGCTAATGATAACAATCTAACTAAAAGTAATTAACTTCCTCGCACATCTCATATAAACTGTGGTGTCAGTTTCTCCTATGCCAGGAGAATTTAATAATATAAAAATAGATCATAATTTCCTGTTTGAAGAGATATATATCATAACCTGATCACAGCATTTCTAAGCAGCAGAAGTTCACTCGGTGAAGGTGCCATGCCTGTAATCACATTGCACTGTGTTCCCAAGCTATCCAGGAAATTAAAAGGAAAAACATTGGTGAAACTTCTGGAGAAGTGTAGTTGCTGATTCCTCTATAAAGGTCCAGTATCCCCCCTGTAGTCTTAAAACAGGAAGTTTTAAGACTCCTCAGTTCTGCCCTAATGGATTATTTCTGCTACGATTCTTTCACTGATCCCTTCCTGAGCAGTCACCTGCTCTCTATTCTGGTGTTCACATGAATAATGGGTATTATATGTGGAGGAAACAAAATCTTCCCTGTGCTGAAGCACAGCAGCAGTTACACTCCTGCAGGACCCTGCTGGTCTGGGGGCTGCTGCGGACACTGGCAGTGCTTCCTCTGACAGCAGCAGGACCAAAACCCAGTCCCTCATCACACAATTCACTTACTGCGACAATTTCCTTCTTACATTCACCGTCATTCTTCTTGCCAAGACTAGTTCCAGCCTCTCTGGAAAGGGAAGAGACTGGCATTAGGGAGCTCTACCAGCAACCTGTTCTGCTGAACCCCACATCCCAGCAATGCTGGTCAGTCTGAGCTATAATGTTTGGGATATAGGAGACATCCCGCTTATCTTGTGTCCACATGGCTCTAGACACCAGCTCAGGTGGTGTCACTGCTTGCCAGAATGTTGTTTTATGGCATCATGTAAAGGACAAGGGAGAATCCAGAGCATTACAGTGGATGAGGAGAGAGGTTGTGTGGAACATAGATGCCCCTTAGGTTAGTTGTTGTCCTCTGCAAGGCAGCGTCTGTCACACAGATCCTTATGATTTACTTCAGAGAAGCATTCTGTCCTGTGTTTGATCCCCACTCAGCCCTCTACTTCTCTTTCTAGATTAAAGGGACAGTTTTCCTTCTAATCACAAAGGAAAACGAGGTCTTGTTATGAGGGAAAGAGGAGGGTCAAAGTCCAAGCACCTTACAGAAAAGGCCTTGGTAGAAGTGCTGATACTCAGAAGAGCAGTTGCCAGGAGCACTAAGCCTGAGCACACACAGTACTCACAGGTTACGGGCACACAGCAGGCACTCGTTGTCGTAGGTGACCCAGTCGGTACCACAGATGGGGTTGAGGTCTTTGTTGCAGAGCAGCACCACTTTGCCTTCCTCACTTGTTGTGTTGGGGTACCTACTGCAGTCCACCTGTTGAGGGAACACACAACAACACACTGCTGAAGACTTGCTTAAAGGAAGCAAGTAGATCTGGTGAGTGTTTCTGTCTGGCCACGTAGGATACCACCACAGCAGGAAAAATGCTTTTTTGTGTGTCACTATGACAATCCACTTGCAGATGGCCACTGCAAGATTCTGACATCTCATAAGTGCTCTTGTTTAGAGTTTGAGTTACATCTTTGGGAATTCCATAAGCAGCTTTGGGCACTCAGAAGCAGGACATGCCCCTTGTTTTGCCCTTGGTTTCACTTACAGGGACAACTTCCTTGCATTCTCCATCGTGGTCTTTGCTGACATTGGTTCCGTATTCTCTGGAGAGGGAAAGACAAATGTTAGAAGTTCAGCAAAGACATCACTACATCCCAAGTGCTGGAAATATGTAACTAATGCAAGGGAAAACTGACTCTTTCTCAGTTAGGCTCATATATGTATTTTTGAGAAGGTAGTGCCATTCTCTCTAAGCAGCTGAGTGGTTGGCAGGGATGTAAAACCCCGGGAGCTTTATGACCATTTTGGACATAAGAGCTCAGAGCAGAGCAGAGCATCTCTCAGAGCAGAGCATCTCTCCATCCTTCAGCTGTGATGAGATGTGCTCTCAGAGCTGTCATCTGGCTGATCCTTGAACTGGAGAAGAAAAACCTGAATAAATTACACAAGCAAAAGAGAGACACAGTGACTAAAGCAAAGTCTAAGCACCAGAGCACCACAAAGTGATACCCAAGCTCATTTTGAAGGAACTGACACAACTGACATTATAGGTCACTGACTGTGGAAAAGTGGTGCTGCCAGGAGCCCTAAGCATGGCTGCCTGAGATCTCCCATGCAGTACATACATGTTATAGGCACAGAGCAGGCACTCGTTGCCGTAGGTGACTCCATCGGAACCGCAGATGGGGCTGACGGCCTCGCTGCACACCAACACCTCTTTGCCTTCCTCATTTGTAGTGTTGGGATATGTACTGCAGTCCACCTGCCGAGGGAACGTACAGCAACAGGGTAGAGAAGTCATTTGACATTCACAACTCTCATTTTGTATGCAACAGTGACCAAGTACAACCAGTTTCCACAACCACAGCAAAAACTTGTGCTGGTGGGTCAGTCTGGGAACAGGTGAGTCCTTCCTGCAAGGACCTTCCCACAAGGACCTTCCCACACAGCAGGAGAGGAGGAGGAGGAGGAGAGGGCTGTAGCCATGCAGCCCCTTGGATTGGGTAAATCAGTAGTGGTCTCTCATGCTCACTTGGCATCGTTTTTTAAAGGCTCTCCATTGGTCCCTTGTTCTCCTATTCCTGTGGCCCCTCCAGTGCACTTCTGTTTTTACTCTTTCATTCTCAGTACCCTGATAATGATTTTTTTCAGAGGACCAAGACTAATGACCTGGTGCATGGAAGCTGGAGTAGCTCAGAATATTTTAGTCTTTCACTAGGTTGCCCTCACATAGGTTCTGATACCACAGTCTATTGCTATGAGTTTAAAACCAGTTATATATGACCAGATTAAAGCTTAGACCAGTCTAAAGCTGCTGAAAAATTAATTAATCAAAAAATTTTGTATCATTATTACTAAAACATTATTAACATACGGCATAGATGTAGAGCCAAGAGCAGTAAAATTTAATGTTTTACACTGTAGAATCTGATTACAATGACACCAGCATCACACTAGGTGAAAAACAGCAGAATATCTACAGGCTGGAGGTTTTTCCCATTCCTTTGGTTATGTCTTTACCAGGCCACATACTTGAGAAAAGTGACAGAAAGAATTCTTCCACTCACCTCAATCCCAAAGGCAGCATCTGGAAAAGAGAGGCAGAGAGCATGAAACAAAGCCAATATGATAAGACCTCAGTTAAAGCTGGAAGTATAGGTGTAAAATTCCACAGGGCCGAGCTGAATGATTTCCAGTGATTGGGTTTTGAACTAAATAAACTATGTATGATTTTTTTTCTCTATGTTGATAAGTATAATAGCATTGCTTATTGCTGGCTGTGATGAAAAACATTTTTTAATAGCTTTGTTCTTTTCTGGTTTGAGATAGGTAGATTTATTAATTGAAAATAGAAGAACTTTTCCTTCCTTATCTTTTCACATATCCGTTTTGACCCTAAAGAGCTGCTGTTACGTATTTGAAAATACACCTGAATCAATACAGACAAATGCAAATAGTCACCTACAGGATAAGCAAATACATACAGCATCTGTTGTCAGAAATATGCATTTTAAAGAAGCCGAGTGTAAAAAAAAAAATGTCTTTGGCTCTGTGATTTCATCCGTTGTAAATATGCAATGAAAACATCAGACTCTGGCTTGTTTTCATCTCTATTAGCAGAAAAAGTATTGCAGGAAATTTGCCAGGGTCCTGCAAAGAACTTGCTTATGACATTACAATATTTTCACAACTAGTTACTGGAGGTCTGACCCTCTTCTTATGGCCCTATTTCAAGTATTGATCCATTTGCTGTAATTGTACAACAAGTCTAAGCAGTGTAATGGTGTTAAAACATCAGTATACAAAGTGTAACAGCACTAGTTGCCAGCACAGAACTCCACTTGCAGTTATTTGTATTTATGACAGATAACCAGCTACAGCCTTGAGCCATTGAGGACTGTCCAGAAATATGCTCCTGCATCCTGCACGATACCAATGCACCAAGGCAGCCAAGTGCTCTGAAGGAGAATATTTTCTCTCTTTGAAGCCACTATCTTATGCTTTTAAAGATGGACAGGAATCAGACACGAAGCTTCTGTGGCACCTTGAGAGTTACTCACCTGGGATGCAGCAAAGTGCGAAGGAGAGGAGCACAAAAACACCCGCCGCAGTCATGGTGGAAGTGTCTGGAGTCTGCAGGCTGAGCTCCTGTGCTGCTCACGAGATGGTCTCTCCAGGGCTGACTGCAAATATATACAAATGCAATGTCTAAACTGTTCAACTGTAACACAAAACAACAGCAGAATCTGTCACCAGTACAATGAGGCTGGTAATATTTATTGAGGTCTTGACTGCTCAGGTAATGGTCTGCGTCTGCTAGGCAATTGATTTTGGCTGGACACCTGGTTAATAGCTCAAGACAAGTATCACAAGGTCCCAATGGTCAAAACCAAACAAACAGCCCTTTGGACAAAAGGAACCTCTTTAGGATTCTAGTAGAAATATAAGGAGCACAAAATACTGAGGAGAATAAAGAGTAGGCCCTTCATTTGTCTCTCGCAGAGCAACATCTCCCTTCAGGGAGCAGCTTAGGCAGGATGCAGTACCATCCTGTTTGCAGATCAGGCCAAGTCTCTGCTTTCCTTTCTGGTTTTGGGTGGGGGTTTTTTCCCCGCATTCCCACATATTCACCACTAGATACAAACACAGGTCAGGTGTGGCTTTGCCATCAGCAGAACTGGTTGAGCTTTTTCAGGCAAGTTTGGCAGTACTGTGTCTAACCTGTGAAACCAATGGTATTTAGCACTGGTTTGACTAAAGCAAAGGCTTCTTGACAGTTTCACTGCCTGGGTATAGAAGAGCTCAGTATAAGACTTGAAAGCAGGTTAAAAATCTGTCACTAAAAATGTCACTTGAACCTTACCAGCAGGGAGCACTTATTTACAGACCCAGTCCCAGTTAAACACACCGACCAACTCAGAGTGTTCCGCCAAGCCATCTGAAGAACAAAAGACACCGAAGGTTTGGGAACCTATTTACATAGCACCAGCTACACTTGAAAGTACAGTAGCTCCTTTCCTCTTGCAGATATTTTAGAAAATGATACTTAAAATATAGGAGCTGTCCCAATTTTCCTGTCTGTCTCTCACCAGCAGCCTTTGTGCCATCTCCAAATTGCTCCTTCCTAGGAGGAGGTCTGCACCTCTGCTGTTTCAGTAGCTGTAATTTTGCAGGAGTGGGTTCTGCCTGTAACCTAAGTTCCTCATGCCTTTCACAGGTCCAAAATGTCAAGAATACCTGGGGGGTTTTTTGGTGGTGGGAGCTAAGCATTGTGCTTTGGGCAAGCTTCAGAACGGTGGGAGCTGCAGAGCAAAAGGTGCTTTACAGGTGCTGCCTTGAACAAACAAGGCACCACCCATCAGACAAATGGAATTTAGCTGAAATCATTGAAATTCAGGACAAGCAAATATGTTCTTGTCTGATACATCACAGTAGTCTAAAGAGTATATTTTGATCCTTAAATGGATATACTGTATAGTGTATGGAATCACCTATCCTGGCACTGGCATGCTCAAAAGGCTGCAGCATGGCTGTGCTGATATACAGATTACATTTTTACCTAAGAGATTCTTCACAGGGAGAAGCATCAAAATAATTATGCTGCTGTGATTGTTTCCATAAATTACAGAGAGCATCCATGAATATTTCAGACAGATTTGGCTCATCTTCAAGATGTATTGCCCTAATGTCTTGGGGATGGTGTCTGGAAGCCAAATACTTTTCCCTGAGTGCATGCAGGAGCACACTGTCACATGCCAACCTTGCTGCCTTCATCAGATCACCCATATAGGCTCTGCACTGTTGGAAGAATGTACATCTTTCTGGGTTAAATATGAACTTTGCCACTGCCTTCTCCAGCCAGGCAGCAAGACCTCTGTGAATCATTCTCACCAGACTTCCCAGCCCTAACCTGGCAGCTTTTGACAGGTTTCCTCCTACATGATGCTCAATGCTGCTGCCTGCCCTGGACAGTGCTGTCCTCTAGGCAGCATCAATCTCTCTCCTGATGAGTGGAGAGCACCTTCCTGCCAAAGGTTGGCGTGTGTTGCCTGCATACATCAAAGAAAAATTTTCCACTGCAACTGCTGGGTTCAGCACTGGGTCTGGCACTTACTGGCCCTGAGCAGCACAGATTTCCTCTGACCACCACAGTGCCTCAGATGTTCAGCAGATCCATTCCTTCATTTTCTCATCTACAGACAATCTAGGGAGACTCAAGTCAGTGACAATTAAGTGCTGACTGGGGAACACCAGTCCCCCATGAGCCATTCAGGTATCCCCCAGGCAAGTCACAAAAGTAACACCCAGCAATCACCAGGTTTCAGACACATGCACAGCCTTCAACCAGACAATGTCCACAGCCTCCAGATTTACAGCTCCAGATTATCCCACCTCTGAAAAAAAGCATGGAAAAATCCCACAGCTGTCTAAGCTCATGCTGTAGGACAGGTTGCTCAGTTCCTAGCTGCTCCTGGAAGAATAGTTAGAAAGAGGATTTGGTCTGCAATCCTGCCACTGATCTCATGCTGTAATCCACTTCATTATGGTCTTCTAATCCTCAAAGTCAGATGCAGCATCTGGCTAATGACCATTTGCCTAAAGAAAAATTCTCCTGTGTGCAGCAGCCAGCACAAGGACAGAGATCCTACAAGAGAGCTAAAGATGGACTTTTGACAAGGGGAAATGGTTTTAAGCTGAAGGAGGGTCAATTTAGATCAGGTATTAGGAAGAAATTCTTCCCTGTGAGGGTGGTGAGGCCCTGGCACAGGCTGCCCAGAGAAGCTGTGGCTGCCTCATCCCTGGAAGTGTTCAAGGCCAGATTGGACAGGGCTTGGAGCAACCTGGGATAGTGGAAGATGTCCCTGCCCATGGCAGAAGGGTTGATCTTTAAGGTCTCTTCCAATGCAAAAAATTCTATGATTCTGTGATCTGCAAGTAAGCAAAGGCAGTGCCACATCTCCGTGTACCACTTGTTATGGTCCTGAGCACCATAGGGTCTGTGGGCTGACACCAGGGCAGGGTTTGGCAATTATACAACATCCTCTCTCACTTACTCAAGTAATTTCTTGTTTTACATTTTCCATTACATTTTTTTTCAGTATCGATTTCATATTCTCTAAAATAATCAAAACTGATGTTGGAAAATTTTCTTAGCGGATGTGTGACTTCTCAGCATAAATAATACATTGATAAACAAATGAAAAATTATTTAACGCACTTATCCAAACCCTCCTGGGTTTTGTCACATTATTTAACTAACAAAAAGCTTTTGTAAAAGTGGGAAATAACAACAATTAGTTGTAGCTCTTTCATGAAAATGCCTCTAATCACTTCAAACCACCTGCAGAACACAATTCAGACTGCAGTTTTCATCTTTGGCTTTCTCTTGGCCACAGTGTGGCCAACAACTATTTGCACTGAGCCACAAGCCTGGAGAAACCAATGGAGCACAAATGGAAGCTCTGCCTCTTAGTGCCTGAAGGCCCCATTTGAACTAAGCAATAAAGCAAACAAAGTCACTGATATGATTAAAACATTTTGATATCAAAACATATCCATGTTTTATGAACTTATTAAATAGAACTTGATCCAGGTAATGCCGGTGGATGTTTTCCTGAACTAATAAGACCTGTGCAGAACTTTGTACCCTGCAGGTGAAGGCTAACATGGTTTCACATTACTTATGCAATGAATTAAATGTACTTGGCCCCACTGCAAAGGCAGATGTTGACACACAGGAACGAGTCCAACAGAGGCCAGCAGGCTGCCCAGGGGCTGGAGCACAGGGCATTCCAGGGAAGTTGAAGGAGCTGAGATTCTTCATCCTGGAGAATAGATGGCTATCTGCTAATAGATTGCTCTCTGCAGCTCCCTGATGGGGTTATAGATAAGGCAGAGTCAGAGTCTAAGCACAGCTGTATCACAAAAAGATTAAATTCTGAATTAATGTGAGGAATTATTCGTTGCCATGAGGATGATTAAGCACAGGAACCAAAGAGGCCATGCATGTCTTTCCTCGGTGATATTGAAAACTAAATTGAACAAGAAAGGCCTTGGGCACCTGAGCTGACTTTGACTTTGGCCTTGCTTTGAGCACAGGTTGAGCTAGAGACCTCTGGAGAGCTCTTACAACCTGAATTATTTTATGTATATGGTACTTTTATAATGCTCTCTCCTATAAATAGTTTTATTAATAAGGAAACATAATACTTCTCTATGACCCAGGAGAGCAGCCTCAGTTTTCCTACAACTTTTACTGAAGGGTCACATGTAAGCCCTACAAAGATCTCCCAGGACGTTTTTACAGGGGGTCACCAGTAACATATACAACAAAAAGAGTGAATTACAGTAATTTTTTAAAAACTCCACATGCTAAACTGTTCAAATTTGAGGACATTATGAGCTCTCGGTGGTTTCAAAGTCCCTCCACTACTGCAGCAGCCCAGCACTCTGGCACCACAACCCCTCTCCAGAAGAGCATCAACACTCAAACCTACAAAGCTATCTGCACCATGAAAAATCAGCTGCCAAAATATTGGCCACTTCACTGCTGTGCTGCAGCCTGGACCAGACGTGGGTCTCAGCAGTATCAGCTCCGAGGACACACCTGCAGCTCGTGCTGTGCTCCAGCTCCATGAGGTTTCCAGATGATGAGGATGTCAGGTCAGGGCTCCATTGCACAGGGCAGAGGTTACTCACAGGAAAGCAGGAAAATGCTAGAATGAGCATCAGAAAAAGGAGGCAGTAAACAACACAATTTTGCTGGACATTGACCCAGGTTATTGCTCTTTGAAGTGAACCTGCTGCAGGAAGGTGGGTTGGAGGTAATGAAGAGATATTAACCTGCAGCTGGTCAGAGGAAATCATTGGTTTAATCAGTTTCCCTGACACTTCAGTGATCTCAGCTCTGCATCACTGAGCACTCAGTTCATCTTTGCCACAGCCCAAGCAGGAACAACGAGGAGGTGGCTGCAAGGAAGCTGACCTGGGATTGACACCATTCATGGCTGCCTGGCAGGAGAAAATCAACCTGGCAACTTCACTACTAGGGCTGGGAAAGTCTCCTTCACGAGCTAGGGTCAGGAGAAAATCTTACAAAGGTAGGAAAAAGATAATAAAATTCAATAGATTCTTATCTGCAAGGAGACAGTATTTATAGCACAATGCAGTTAAAATAGAACGAATAAGCATGTTCTGCCATGAAAGCAAATTGCTTTGAGGTTATATAAACCAGGGGAATAGTTGAACACATTTTCAAACTACCAGTCATCTAGCAGCACACACATCATCAGAATAGCACACAGCAGGGGGATTGTGGCTGTGTCCCTTGGATTTCAGACAGCTACGTGACCCACTAAGGAGTGTCATTGCCGAGAGAGGCTGATAGGCAGAAATAAGATATTTTAAATGACTAACAAGCAGGGCTGGGAAAAGTGATCCAGTATGGGTGGGATGAGCCCTTGCTGCTTGCTGAGCAGCAAAGGGGAAAGCTAAGGCCTCGAGGAAGATCGTTTGATCCCTGTACAGCTGGATTTCAGAGTTTGTTTACAGAGGGATAAACATCCCGGATGCAACTGCAGTATGAAATCTGTGGCCAGGCTGGCTGAGGAGCCAGGTTACTGTCTCCCAGGAAGCACAGGGATCATCTCTTCACAGTGAGCTGCCAAGTCTCATTAATTTATCATAGGAACATGCCTTCAGTGCTTGCTCCCCTCAGTTCTGTTTTGTAAGATTGACAGATATGTCTATAGACCACAAAGTGTTCTTGACAAAAGGGTAATTAACCTTCAGTGTTTACATCTCCCTCCTCTTGGTAAGTAACACGACAATTTGGGGATTTGGGGAGATTTGGCTGTAAATGAGTTATGGTTTCCTTTTATGCTCTTGATCAGAGGCCAGGAGGATTAGAGTTTTCTTAGCTCTACCTGGAACGGTAGGTAACCAAGGGAGAATTTCCTTGGGTAAATGGCCAAAGCCTTGGACACAGGGATTCTGGACCAGACCAAGTCTGCATTCATCATTCAGTCTGTAGCTCCACAGCCCTTTGGGCCAGGATCTGGGACCTGCTTCATGAAAGCTCAGGACAGGGTAAGCTGAGGCTCTGCCCAACTTGAGAGACCAAGGGGTGAAGTTTGTACACAGATAATGACATGTATGGGAGGCGCTATTGTAAAGTGGTTTTTAAGTTAGAGAAACACTTCAGGAGTATGTCCTTCTGCACAAATCCAATATGGGAGGAAGAAACCAGGAGTGCAAAGCAGCTGTTCCTGTAGGTGCCAGTCCATTGCTGCCAGAGTGACCTGGAGGCATCGCTCTGCCTCGGAACTGCCCCAAGGAAGATCAACACACCACATCCCCAGGCAAAGTTTTCTTTCCATGTGAAACCACAGGAGGAGGTGATGCAGAACGGAAGCAAGTAGATCACCAAATAAAAACATGCTCCCAGGTCTCACCTTATCAACCAACAAGCCAGCAAAAATGCGTATGAGAAACAATGTTTGGAAGAGACAAGTGAAGGTGGTTGTTTTCATTTATGGGAAGAAAACCAGTAACCTCTGGGATTTGAGATTAATGGTGGTTTGGCTTTTTAAGAATGATCTTGTAAATAAAGCAGCAACAAGGGATAGGGTGCAAGAGGCTAAGAATGAAAACCCACTGCTCGCTCTAGTGGGAAAGGCAGGGAGAGTAGTGTGAGAGGCAGGATACATCATGGTGCTGTAACTTGAATGCTTGGCTGGGACAAGATGAACTGGATGGAAAGAATTTTGGTAGCTGAAGGACTATAAGCATCATAACCACTGAACATGTCTTCATTATTAACATCAAAAGAAATGGCAACAATTTCATTTATTCTACAGAGCTGAGCTCTAATGAGACCACTGGCTGATTCTTTACAGCTAGACATGGGTGAAGCACAGTTGGTGCTGACAGAAAGGAACATGCTGCCAAATTACAGGATTTTACTGTTTCACAGTAGACAGCAGGTAGACAGAGGTAGACAGCAGGTATTCTACCATCTCTTAACTATTGCACTATCAAAGTATTATATATAACAACTGCTATGTTATGCATGATCATATGGCCCCTACATGACCTGGCTTGGGCAATGCTCCGTTTGCAACCTGACAAAAAATTCTTATCTCAGGAGAGCTGAATACTGACATCTGCAAAGGTTTTGTGTGTCTCCTTTTCTGGTCTTGAAATGGGTTATGCTACACTCTCCTGCTGGTGAGAGTGAAGGTTGTTTGTGAGTGCTTCCATAGCAAAGAAATATTTTTGCTACTTGTCTCATATTTTGCATCTTTTTGCCATCCTTCTCTTCCTACATTTGAAAGCAGCCTGTGGAGAACAGCAATATTAGAAAGCTAGCGTTAAATCACTGCCAAATAAAATGTCAACAGAAGGTATATGCATCACTTACATCCAATCGTGTGCTGCCTGCTCAGCATCCGGCTGACACTGTTTGGGATGCTGCCACACAGAGCAATGGGAGTTCAGGCTGCTTCTTGGTTTGCTTTCCTTCTTAGTCATTGGGATGGCTGCTGTTCCTGAGCCCCTGAGTGTCCCAAGCTCTCTGAGGAGGGGAAAGTCTGCCATTAGAGACTCAGTATGACCATTTTCCCTAAAGGGAACTGGTGCTGGGAATGTAAATAAAGCTCCCAAATGATGCAAGTGAAGGAGAGTTCATCTGAGTTAACCACCACCAGTGAAGTCTTTCTGCTGTCTCTGACTGTTATAAACCTATCAGTCAACAAACCTCTGCCATCTGAATATGCTACATCATTTGAATTTCCACTCTGGATACTTTCTGCAGCTATTTTCTTTTCTCTGCTAAATCTTCATGATTTACCCCCCAAGCACAAACAGCAAGTGAAGAGGGAGAAAAGGAGGATAAATTGGAAAAGCACAGGGAGAGGCCAGGGGCTAGGGGACTGTCACTTGGAAAGCATGTTCTTTCCATCAGACTGACACTTTATAGGCACAGATCCCACATTCAGTGGTGTAAGTGGATCCATCTGTGCCACAGATCTGCTCCAGTGCTTGGTCAGGGGGCCATGACTGGCCATGCTCAGCAAGGGCCCTGGGGCATGGGCTACAGCTCAGCTTTAAAGGGAACAGTGAAAAAGGGCTTAAAGCAGTACATCCAAACATTCCTCGTTCTTCAGGGGACTTGAACAAAATTAATGTTTTACTTCTATGAATGAAAAATAGGCAGGAAGCAATATACTCTATAAATGCTTTTTCTTTGGAGATTCACAGTATGTTTAAAATTACAGGGCCTCACCTCAGCTGGTGAAAATCTGGAAACCCCTCCTGGGCTGTGTGGATGTCTGCCAGCTGGAGACAGGCTCCTTCCACTACTGCTTTCTGCTTTGTTCCTATCTACTCGTTGATCCGCGGAGAGCATGCAACCAGAGCCCAGGGCATGGCAAAGAATCAAATAAAACTGTATCAAACATTAAATTACAACAAGAGAATGAACATTTCTGAGTGTGAACATACTGATGGATGAAATGGCTGCATACCAGAGTTATACTCCTTTAAACGTAGAGGTCTGAGAAAATTTTTCAGTTCCCAAATTATTTTCTTTGCTAACAGCCAGTTAAATAGACCTGTGCAACTGATACAATGAGTTTGAATAATTATTTCTGGATTTCTTTTTTTTTTTTCGAGGAACATATGGTTATAAAAGTGCTTTAAAAATCATTTAAATATTCTTCTGAAATGAATATTTAAAAATCAGTGGGATGAGCCTTGTCACTCTCTCACATCCCTCAAGAGAATGACAGAATGTCTAGGCCCATCCACATGCCTCTAGCAAATGCAGCACATGAGAAAAAAGATAAACCAAGGGAAAATTATCAGCAGACATAATTTTGAAAGGCATAGATTTTTTGATAAAGTTTTTGAATGAAGTTTGGGTGCAGACACACTCAAGCAAAAGTTGTGGGGTTTGTTTTTCAAGTCACAGATGGGTAAGTGCTGATAAAAGGTGAAAAAAGATATCTCTGCTCAATATGAAAAGACTAAGTATTGTTTTCTACATTCCACTTATCAATCAAAATTTAAATGATTCACCTAATTCTTCCCCCTCTTTGTTTTGTAAGAAAAATTACTGTAGACTCAGAAAACATTGATAACACTATAAAGATAAGTCAGACAAACAAGGAAAGGGAGAGGACATTTATATTCTTAACATATTGCCTCTGTGATATGTACTGGTACATGTACAGGTCACAAATCCTGAGGCTGGACTGTCACCAGTGTGAAACACGTCAAAGTTTGTCAACCCTTGGCACAGCTCAGCCACTCTGTGCCCAGCTCCAGAGCCAAGGGCTGCAGCCTGTGGAGTGGGACCAGCTGCATTTCAGCACTAAATTTTAGATGCCTGATGTTGCAACTGTATGCAAAAATGACTGGAAAGTCGTTTTTTTCTTTGCTGCATCCTTGACTGAGGATATAAAGCTGCTTCCGTTCACAGCAAGAGTGCAAAAATAAGAGTCCCCTGAAGCAGGACTCAAACCATGCTTGCTTCTGATTCTTTCAGTGTCTCTTTCCAAGCTAAAAACCAAGCTTTCCTAGCACAACTGTTGAGTGGTTTTTGAGAGAAACCTGAACATTTTGAAGCTGCTCGGGCTTTTGCTCAAGGTGAGTAAGAAAGTCACCCTCAGGGCTCTGCAGCATTATGCACCTGAGCAGTGATGGAGCAGCAGGCTGAGCAGCACCAGGGTGTCTGTCACCTACACCCTGGAGATGTTACTGAGTATATTTGCAGTCTGGCAAGCACTGAGTTCATGAGATGATTGGGGACCCTGCTTGAGCAGAGAGGTTGGACTAGATGACCTCCAGTGATCCTTTCCATTTCGCGATTCTGTGATTTCTTGCTGTTTCCCACCGCGGTAACCTCTATCTATCCATGTATCCAACATTCCTCTATCTATGGCCAAGCAGGCACCCAATTCAGTGAACTGTAACCTGGACCACCTTTCAAGTTAGTGACACTTGAAACTTGGTATTGTTCTACCTCTCTCCTAAACCACAAAAATTCAATGTTTCCTCTTGAATGTGTTTGTCTTTGCCTGATCATTGCTTCCTTGTCATTGAAATGTTTGGGCTGGAAAAGATCTTTAGGATCATCAAGTTCAAACATGACCCCAGCACTGCCAGGGTCACCACTAAACCATGTCCTCAAGTGTCACATCTACATGTCTTCTAAATCCCTCCAGGGATGGTGACTCAACCACTTCCCTGAGCAACCTCTTCCAGTGCTTGACAACCCTTTCCATGAATAAATTTTTCCTGATATCAGATCTAAAGCTCCCTTGATGCAACTTGAGGCCATTTCCAACACAAAGCAGAAAGAAATCATCCAAGTAACAAACACTCAGTAAGTAACCCTGGAACAACTGAAAAACAAATCCAAGGCACAGGAAACCACACTGTCCCTGAGAAGGATGCCCTATTTTTATAGTTATATTGCTTCATAAAACACCCCCTGAGCCTGGGGGATATTTAAACTCCAATGTCAGGCTTTTCCCATTTCCTGGCCCAGTTTTAGTGATTTATTCCATTATGTGCTTCTACATGAAACCTACTGGTGAATACTGCATGGAAACCTCTGTCTAATAACCCCTTTGGCTGCTTCACTGGATTGCTCTGACTTATCCTCAACTTTGTTCCTCCTTGAATTCTTGTTTGCTTTTGGTGTCATCAGACAATGAGCTCCACAGAGGAGGCTTTGGCAGGGGTGTGCCAAGCCAATGCCATTCAGTTGGCCCTTGACAGCTTTACTGCAAAGGCTTCAGAAGGCTTGAAAAAGCCAGTGGTCAGAGCTCAGTCCAAGTTAAAGGCTGTCAAAGTCCACAAAAAAAAATATTCAGGTCTTATCCCTGAGGATAACCCAGTAACACTTAAACAAGACTGAAGCAGCATGTTCTGCAAAAGCACCTGAACAGAAAATGGCAAAAAGGTTATATAAACTAAAGGAACATTTACTTTAGGACGCAGACCAAAGAAAAGTACAATAAGCTATTGTTAGTTACAAATCATCTTGAAAACGGACACTAATGGCACAGAGGTACTATGGCCTCATTCTCTGGTACAATAGCCCCAGTATCTCCAAGTCAGGAACATTTGCCTGTAGCCTATTCTTCTGGCCTGACAATTCAAAGAGTGACTTTCCAAACTGATCCAAATAATTGTGTTACTCTCTGGTAAACTACAATGGGACATTGAACTGGGGAGGCACTAGCTGTAGCCCAGAAGAAACCCTGAACCCTAAAATACTGGACTTGCAATAGCTTTGGTGACCTCATGTGGAGGTAGTGGCAGTGGCTGTACCTGTGTTGCCAACAGATGAAGGGCAGCCCCAATGTTCCACTACCTCCCTGCCATCCATACAGACCACCAAAATGACAACAATTGTATCACCAAGTCATGACCTCTTTGGTCTCAGAAAAGTAGTAAAAACAACTCTGAGGCAGAATTGTTTTCCTATGACTTCTTATATATTCAGTTAAAACTGGTCACAAATGAACCTCTGAATCCTTTTGCTTCCCAGAAGTCTTTAGAAAGCAGCTCAGTGATGTACTAGGGCTGTCCCCCATCTCAGGGGTGATCACTGCCCACCAGTCCTGGAGATATTCTGTTGCATTAATAAATTAAGATATTTCATGAGTGGACACTTTTGCTGTTTGTGACCCTGATTGCAGCTCAATATACCCCTCCTGTAGATTATATCCTATAACAGCACTTGACACTGAGGACAAATTCAGTGGAGACAGACTGGAATCACCTTTCCTGACAGCAGCTGCTGTCCCTTCCATGGGACAGGCAGCACAGGCAGCAGGAACTGGGACAGGGGCACCTCTTGGCTAGGCAGCCAATTTCCTTTTCTAGCCCAAGCAAAAAAGTTCTCTTCTTGAGAGCAAATCAGCACCCACATCCAAACCATTTCCCTATGGAGGAGGTGGACCACACTCTCAAGGTGAATGTCTCCTTGCAGTGACTGTAAAGATGGAGTCTGTGATCAGGTCATACAGAGATATAGTTAGATAAGATTAACACTGACAAGGAGACTCTGAGGAGTAAGGAAGTGACTGGGAGCTCCACGGGGAGGTCAAGCCCTCATCAGAGCAGGGATGGCACTGACACGTGGCAGGAAAGGTTTCATCCACACTGTTTGGTAGAGGAGAACACCAACAGAAAAATACACAGGCACTCAAAGTACCATGTCAGGGAGGAGATGGGGCAAAACAGATGCAATATGCCATTAAGACAGAGAAACTTTGCCAAGTCAGTTTATTGAACAAGTATCTCAGGAGCTAAGGAAACAAGGCAAACTGAAGGAATGTTACTAGGGAAGATCAGCCCATGGCAAGTCTCATTTAAGGGAGCTTGTCTTCCTGGGCTGAACTCCAGCACAGACTTAGCATTCAGCCAAAGTCATGAGATTGAGAGTCATCCTGCTTTCCCTGGTGAGAAAAGGGGAGAGGAGAATTAGACACAGAGCATATTAAGTGCTGAAGCCACATTCCTCATTTCACTGGCCCAAGTGATGATTTAGTGTTGACTGGAGATGAAGAAC